TTCAGCAGCCGCAGCCTGGAGGAAAGCCAGAGTGTGACCAGAGCCATAGGCTGGGGGGGCGGTGCCAAGAGACTGCCATGGAAACGCCACAGGCTTTGGAAAACAAAGGGGTGCAGGGTACCCTGGTGTGGCCAAAAGGCTGCTTATTTTCAGACCTAGAGCCTTTGCATCTGTGCCCAAAGCACAGCCAGGCAAATAACGACTCTTCCAAACTGTAACAATTCTTTGCTGTTCAGTTCTATGCTATGCCACGCTAAAACATTTGCTACGAAATCCACCTGGAGAAAGCCACCCCAGACAAGAAGATGAAATTGCACATTAATCACATTAAAGCTGCAACTTTGTCATTTATTTGCAGTAAATCCCTAACAACTATATGAAAGCTAAAATAGATATTCTTATGCAAATCATTAAAAATATTTAACAAGAAAACGCTTGCAATAAACCCACCGTTTCTGCACCCTTTTCACATACACACTCTCTTAGTTCTGAAAAGGACGGTTGGTTTTCAAGCAATTCCAATAAACTCAACTCATGTGAGAATGATCCCATCTAAACCAAGGATTTCTTAAATGTACAGAGCACTGCCTTTAGAACCCAAATAGCAAATTAATTAGAGGTACAAACCTGACATGCAGTAATGCATCTGCGTGCTTTTCCACAGAAGCAGAATGACTTTATTGTGCTTAAAAAGAAGGCGCTGTAGGAAGCTAAAATACCTTTACTTCTGAATGAGTACACTACTTCGATGTATTTTACCTTTAAGTAATTCATCTTAACCTTTCTAGTTGTCCAGCCAGTAGGGCTGGTTGAAATTTTCCTATAAAATGGCTGCCATCAGCTACACCCGTGGAGAAGGGGGTGGGGGGAGTGAGAAGGGGCGGGTCATGCAAAGCAAGACTAAGAGAACTTCCATTTCCCTTGCTCTGAATAGATGGAGTCCTCCAAACTCATGTGACAGATACGCATGCCAGAACCTTTACCGTAGAGGGTTTGGGCTTTTGTTGTCCTAGGTGATAAATCACCGAGAGATTCAGTAGAATATCTCCACAGTGGATTAACTTTAATAGATTAGATGCAATGCACTGTGGATTTAGAGTACCTCCAGACTGTCCTTACGGTACACTCAGTTAGCTTCAGAGCAAGTAACATGATAATGGTCTGAAATCTCCTGGGGCACTGAGGAAAACCATAGGATATACCTGGATTCAACCAAGACTGTTGTATAAGGAAGACCCAGCCAACTTTTTTCCATAACTATTTACCTGAGTGCTCTAAAATATCCCTCAAAGAAAGGTTATAATGTCTGAAAAAGTGATAAACAGTGGTAATTCTAGAGGAAGGTGTACATCAGAATAAAAAACATTAATTATCTTCTGGAAAGATTGTGTCATAAGATCAAATGACAAGAGAGTAAAACCACTCAGTATCATTATTCATAGTCAACATATACTATTCAGGAAGTTCTTTCCTTCCTTCTGGCTGGAATGAAGTTACCCTCTCTTTGCTCATGTGTTAATTTCCAAGTGATTTCTATTTTAACTGATACCAGTATGAGTAGGGGACAACCACAACACACTGACCTATTTGACCCTGAATATAATGGGATGTTTCCCCCGCATCACCGTGGCTGAGATCTGAAAAGTGATTTCTGTTGATTCCTTGGATATGGCTTAAAGAATCTTGTAGACTTTCAGAAGTTTCCACCTGCCAATCATGCATGTGGGGTCTCAGGCTGGATGCAGTGCTGACCTGATGCTCACTCTCAACCCTATTTCTCTTTGTACTAATCAGATTCCAGTTTTCCTTTTCCCTGGGTTTTGGTCTTTGGTAAAGCAGCTGGACATGCTGCGA